CACAAAATTTGATTTTTTTTTTTTTTTTTTTTTTTGAAAAAAGAATAATATGAAGAAATTTTTTGAAACACAAAATAACAAGTATATAGTTAGATAATAATAATTCAAAATGATTAAACCGTATCAGGTATTTTTCGATTGCAGACAGTTTTAGAAAGAGTTATTTAATTTAATGTTTGGTTATTCAAAGTCTCCGGATCTTAGCATATTCAATCGATCTTTCTGACTACGTGACGTTATGTCGCGTACGAGAATTCAGCGCTACACACGTTTTAATACACGCGTCTGCATAGTCGGATTCCAATTTGAATATGTGTATTTCGCTCCTTGTACATACATATATCTAATATTTGTCGCGATGAACGAGAATTTGATTAAGTGTTTATATATACACACACACACATCCTTTAAAGAGACAAGCCAGCTTCGAAGCGAAGTATATTTATTTCGTAAATCGTCAATAGTCACCATTGTTATCGGAGTGCTGACCAAGCGCACGTTTTGTCGAGCACTAAACTTTATTCTAGATAAAATCTAGGACATTTTTATTTTATTTTCTTTCTTCTGAACAGACGGACAAACACATATTTAGATAGAAAGAGAGAAAAAAAGAAAAGATTCGTTCATGAAACGTGTAAACACACTCTGCTCAAGAACACCGTGACAACTAGTAGAAGTACATTAATCAAGTTTGGATAAGAAGTACAAGAAAATTATCGTGCGGTTCTTTGCGGATCGTTACGTCCGTTTGAGTCGGAGATTGTCGAGCATAAAACAAACAAGGCATTTTAGCCACGGCACTGTGTCTGAAAGATGATATTTATCATCGCGAGACGTGTACTTTCTGACGTTTCATAGTATAACGATATAGTTGTAGCTCGCAAGAGTTAACCGTTCTTCACAGGTGTACCGGTTGTAACCGAGTAATCATTCTAGATTTTAGCTAAGAGAGTAAATGCGCAACTGTGTGAGACACATTTGCTGTGTGGGTATCTTCGAAAGTTTACAAAATGATCAAGACTACGTTCAAGTTCGTCGAGTATATGCGAACCCCGTAACCATCAGAAGAGAGGACAGAAGTTTGATTGTAACTTTTACAAATATAAAATGCAAATTACACGAATTGTTAATTCCACTAATTTCTAAATCTTCAAGAACAGACGTCAAAAATGACGACTAGTTGATCAGACTAGAGCTGTGACTAGACCCACGTGACCGGGTCTGTGAGACGCACGCGACTTTAAAATCGAATATCTTCGCGAAAAATCAATATTTTTCAATTTTGTTTTTTATCAAAAGTCTGAACGATTCTGCGTCGATCAAAAACCAAACATGTTGAAAAAATTTCTTTCAGTAGTTTCGAAGATACAAGCGTTTGGAATAACACTAATTTTTACCAGAAACGTCGATGCGCAATTTTTGAGCGGATCTTGAAAGACCCATGTCTGTCCGCGAAGAGTTAATTCTAAATTTGATTGCAAAATTATACAACGGATTCTGAACTAGTTAAGTTTTCCGAGCAAAAGCGTGTAATATGTATTTTGAAATTTCTCTGGGGCTGCATGAAAATACAAGAGCGGAGTAGCTCGTCTTCTTTAAGTATAATATCGCACATAAAGGAATTAATATACACGCAAGAGAGTCACATAGTCGCGCGTGTGTGTATTCCCATGTGAGTTATAAAGAATACAGTATACTTGGTTAATACTAAATAAACTATCGGAATTCTGCACGTATATATGGACATATTGTATAATATATTTTGAATTAAATTAGAGTTAGCATAATACATTTAGAAACTCGTATTGGTCAATTCTCTCGAACATTGTGACCTTTGTGTGTTATCCAAAAGGGAATAACGTCACGACATTTAATTACATTCCGGGAACTTTGTGCGCAGCTCTACCAACTTATTCATGGGGGGGGGGGTGTATATAAGCTCTGAACAAGACTGCGAAATTAAAAGTGACTTTTATTGTGAATTTTGCACTGTATACTTTAACACTCTAAAGAAACTGTTCCTATAAATTTTATGTATTTTCGACAACCAGACGTTTAATTTTCATGTAAGTGAAAGCCCGTGGATGCGATATTTCATAGCGCCAACAAAATTATGAGATGTAAAAAACATCATATGCATGTTAAACGTCAAGTTGTTCTACATTTGAATAGAAGTTGCGCTCGCGTAGAATTTTATTTGCCTCTTTTAAATTCTTTTTTTCTCTTTCGCAAGCAGCTATTTTTCGATAATCGGATTATTATTCAATGCAAACAGCATTTGCTTTCAATCGTTCGCGAAATCTGCTTTACATGACGGAAAACAAGAGATATTTCTGCCTGTATGTGTGAACGCACACGTTACACCCTTTTTTACGCCAATACGATTTACAATTGAATTTTTAGCTTAAACAGAGATTTATATACATATATACAAACATATATATACATTTCTATTCTATCGGCTTCTATAAAACCAACGATCTATGCTGACGCACATACAGTACATACTTTCGCACATATGTACTGTCTTCAGTCCCTTACTGTTTTATATTTTCTAGAAAGTCTTCATTTAATATTTTCCAGAAAGTTCTTTTTTCTTTTACTTCTCTTACTTAATATATCTTGCATTTTTTCATTTAAACTTGAAAATCTTTGAAAAATTCCCGCGCAGCGTATAATCGTTAAACCAAAACATTCGGAAGTTTTTGTAAAATTTTACAAGTTACAAAAATGATAAAACATGATAATATAAATAATACAATATAAGTGTACTGTGAAAAAATATTGTTGCTACAATTCGTACATTTATTTCCTAATTGCAGTTTCCATGTGTATTTTCTTTTCTTAAGAAATCTTTCTTGAAAAGTTTTTATTGTTACATTGTTTTACATTCAAATGTTCTTCAGTTTGTTTATCTTTACGTTTTAGTGCGTTATTGATTTAAATATACAATTATCGAGATACTATCCAACTACAGCTCAAAAATAAGAGCTTTTGTTTCTTTATGCGAGCGCACATCTACATGTTTCGATATTTATTTGCTTAGTAATTTTTATTTTGCGTTGGTAAAAGTAAAAAAGATGCTGTAATAAAGATCGCGCCAGCGGAGTTCTTCTCCCTTGACAGAAACGTTTTACTTGCGGCGACCCCTCAACGTCTTAAGATGCTCCTTATCAAGCACGGGGCGTATATACCTTACATCTACAATATTATTCTCTGTTTATCACTGCTGTGGAAACCATGAAAGGTCATATTTCATCCACAATTTGAGACGATGAGAGATCGGATTACCAACATCGACTGCTACCTTTGTCGAACGTGCGATAAAATGACGTACAACTACAACGTTAGTTATAGATCAATTCGAAAACAATACAAAAAACGCTATATGCAAAAATCTGACAGACACAATTTCCAACAACAATTTCCTGCAACATTTTTTTTTTTTTAATTATTCAATGACAATCCTTGCTATTGTACTGAGAAATGCAATATGTATGTACAGACATATGAGGTAAATCAACGTAAAGCATTGTTAATTACAAATTTCGTCAAGAGAATATTGCAACATCACTTTATGGAAAAAAAAAGGTGCGAGACTAATTTTTTCTTCGACGAATAGATTATTTGAATTATGTCTCATGAAATAGAAACGTGCGATGAATACATGCGTGTAATCTCTGTAGTTTTCGCAATTTTTTTATTTTTATAGAGATAAATGATTCTTACGAAATTAATTACTCACTTACACGTTTAGATTTTTCCATTAGGCAAAGACATCCGCGATAAGACGTGTAATTTATATTTGATGCATCTCACTTGTATTGTGTGACTTAATATTAAACAGTAACTTAATATTAACTACACCACACTGATCAAACAATATATTACCTTAATAAGTAAGCGAAATAACAATGGCAGATACACTTTGAGTTTAGTTTAATCTTTTGTAACGGCAAAACAGTAGATATTTATATTAATGAGAAAGCGTATAAAGCTTGGTATATATCTATGAATAAGCACCGAACGAACAGCGAGAGCGAATGTTCGGACATTCGTGTTTGTGATCTGAAGTCATTTGTTCTTAGTGAACAGCAGAGAACAGCACGTATGCATATCCATATCGCTAACGAATTTTCTCTGATGTACCGCTTCATGAGAAAAACCAATCCGAATGTGAGTTGAATATTCTGTTCGCATTTGTTTTGGCTTATACATCTGACGAATGATCGATAGTAACGAATGTTCGCGTTTGCTGTACGTTTGTTCGCTATGTATATACCTAGCTTAACGCTTCCTCGTCTTCTCGCTTCTGACGTCAAAAAACACTCGTAATGAAGTAAAAAAAAAAAAAAAATCGCGGCTTACCAACGCGGCGTAATTCGATTTTTATGTAAAACTTGATTAAAAGTCGCGGTATGAAGATTCGCGTGCGGAATACTTAATTGATCCGCAATGAAAAGCGCGCGAATGTTTATTGATGAGATGACGCAAAGTCATTTTATAATTACTGTATTATTATAGTTAACATTCTCTTGATCGTTTAAGCAAATTCATTGCCAGCAGTTTAACCTTCAAAAGTCATATAGAATAAAATCTCTTCATTACGACTTTCACATTTTCCTAACTTGCTTAAAAACTGACTTTTATTTTCCGTTGTTTAATTGGAAAACCAAAGTTTAGACTATTGAGCATTGATAAAACTTTCAAATGGAGTTACACAAATAACAAACGATTATAATTAAGGTTTTAAACATTTGTATACTTGAAAATGTGAGTAAACCTTATGAGATAACTGAATCTATGCGCAGTGACATTAAGTGTTTAAAAGCCATAGATCGATCTAAAACTCATCGGGAACTTTAGAAATCACTCGCGCCTACAAAAAGCCAGACTTTTGATTTTTTGAAGAAGCTGCGCCAGTTTCGATATTTCAAAGTCGAAACAAAATGATAAAAAAATAGAACTCATCAGAAAGAATTATTGTTTGCACGTTCAAAACATTGATTTTTTGAAAACACCATGCCAGTTTTGACATTTCAACCACATTTGTGTGAACACGTGATAGCTGAAACCAGCTGCCGAAAGAAAATATCATAAGATCGCTTTCATATCTCTCTCTATACGTTTGATGAATTCTATATTTTTGTATTTTTTTTATATATAAAATTATCTTTATTCAACTATAATCAAACTAATACATATATAATTGAAAAACAAACGAAAAAGGATTCTGTAACAAGTAGTTTGCCGTCTTAGTTGCTATACATCTATAACTTTTCAGTAATATTAGTACAAAGCTGAAGTGTCGCAATTACAAATATCTACGAGTATATATATGTATAAATCGTCTACCGTGTACTAACAAACTTGTGTATAATTACATCATAAATATTTGTAGTCATAACGAATTCTACAGAGAGAAATAAAAAACAAAAAAAAATAGTATGTGTGTGTGTGTGTGTTTCTCTTTTTGAAGTGTTCAAAATATGAAAATAAATTTCTCTGAAACAATTGTTAGGCTGCAATTATCTATTTTATATATCTGGATTTGACGATAATTGCAAGAAAAGAAAAATGTCTCAGAGCAAGAGTTTTCAATTCAATGCGAATGTGTATAGTACTCGAAATTTAACAGTTCTTCTTCACACACATACACACAATTACCACATTTGGCTCTGTGTATTATTTCTGCTCGGTTACAAATCAAAATCAAGGCAAATCTAGTTCTTTCTCTTACAAACGTATACTTCTTATATACACGCAGGCAATCAACACACACAATCACACACGCACATGGAGCATATACTTATGTATATGCAATATATGTATATATATATATATATGTATAAATATGTATATCACAGGTTAAAAATAAATAAGTCTCGCGTCCTCGGGATTCTGCTCCACCGGACAGTACGGGCATTTCAATCTAGAAATAAATTGATTTCTTTTAAAACGTGACTTCTGGACCAACGTATGCCGATCCTGTCACATATAAAATACTTACTTATTTCCATTGGAAAGTTTGTTCAACGCGTCTCGCGAGATAACGTGGCCGCACACCAACTTCATCGGCGGATTAGTTTCTGTACTTTGTTGTCTCAGAATGGGACATGCGAAGACTGAATGATAACGACCTTCCTTTCCCAAATCTATTTCAATCTGCATATCAAGATGCACACTTATTTTATTTTTACCATATCTTAGAGATAAAACAGAAGTTAGTCATCCCAATGAGACACTTAGTTTGAAACTCTAACTAAAAGATGAGCTATAGAGGAATCAATTTGATATCGATAAAAAAAATAGTTAAAAATTAAATTGCAAAATTACAGAGTGACTTACGGGCAATTCGTCTTTGCCTGTCCAAATGCCGGTCACTTGTCTCTGTTGCATCACTTGTTTGATGTTCAATAACGCGGGTAACGCAGTGCATCCTGCATTGATGCTGTAATAAAACAAATTTCAATGTTTCAATGTTTCAGTTCAGCTCTTTATAAAACTTGAAAAAGTGGTTTAAATATCACGTACCAAACAGAGAGCGGGCTGTCGACACTCAGACCTAATAATAAGCACGCTTCTTTGGTGAAAACGTCGTGTATCTCAAGCCACAAAGTAGGATCAACTAAATAACTATAAGGAGATGATTGTATCCCATGTGGTAAGTAAAGTAACGTTCCCATTAAAGATTGCACTTCTTTTTCGTAACGATCGATGAACTGAGTGAGATTTTGACGGGCATACAATATAGCCTCTTTCTGCTTACTTGGACCTTGTTGAACTAATGTGATAAAGTGGAGTCTATGCAGTTTGAATTCGAGAGAAGAATTCTGAAAAGAGAGAAACATTTAGAATTGTTCATCTCACATTATTTTTGTGTTACTACTACAAAATAATAACATAAAAAATGAATATATAATTTTTCAAATACCTGTGTTAAAAGTGCCTCTCTATGTTTTTTAGCCCAATTCAGTGCTGGTTCCAGATTTCTCTGTTTCAAACAATCCAATATATAGTTTAACTCTGAGAATGGTTCTTTTCTATCTTCGTCAATTTTAATTCCTGCTTCCTGAGAAAATATTTATATTTATATTATTTACTTTAGTAATTCCATATAAAATATTTATAATTTATATTTATTTTAGTAATTCCATATAATCTGTTACATGTGATTCCACATCAAATAAAAGCTATGTACTCACCATTGCTAATACTTCAGCAATGTCTAACATTCCTTGCCTGTAAAAGTGCTGACAAATTGCTTGATTCAGAAGATGAGATTTTTCAGGTCCTGAAAACACATCTTCTCTGCTGGTACAGGCAAAATCCGCAATAAAATTTCTGTCTATTGCTTTGCCCACTTTGGATACTGTACTATGTAAATCTCGATGATCTGTTGCTAATCTTTGCACGGTGTCACGTACTTTTGTCATTGCTTGTTTAAGAATTTGTACTTGATCTTCTGTCAATTGTTGATTTGGCGGTACTAACAAAAAGTCAAACACACACTGTTAATTTTGTAATTCTTATTATTAATTCTTATTATTAAACTTATATATAGAAAGTAAATAACACTACTATTCTTTTTATAATGTATATGTTTATTTGTTACATATATTTAGTTAATACAGGCGTAAATAAACACTATCACTATCGATAGTATTAGTGTACAATAACAACAAGTGCAATATGGAAGTGTAATCAGCTTTGTCTAAAGGTTAGAAAACTTCAAATAAAAATATACAATATTAGAAATACGTATAATTTACTAATAAATAAAATTATGCATATCAAAAGACGTCTTTAATCTCCATCAAGCATCGAAAATTATAAGCTGAGTAAAACTTGATAATAAAAATAAACTTTCAAGGATTAAATCAAAAGAGGACAATACAATTTGTTACTGCCACTATTTTCAGTTTACCTTCATCTATATCTTTTTTCAAAGACTGAATGTGATTTATCAGATCACATAACACTGTTTCAGCATGGTCATTTATAGCGCCGAATTTTGATAGAACTTTGTCTACCTCACGTTCAACTGCGTTACAAGCATCCATCGCTATCACTTCGCACAACTGAGACCTATGGAAACTCCCGTGATGTAAGAAGATAAGGAAGTCGATTCTGTATCACGCGGTGTAGTGAAAATTACAAAAGTGAGCAAATTCACTAAAATATCTATGATCTTATTGGTCAACATCTAGTAAATTTGCTCACTTTTGTAATTTTCACTACATTGCATGGATACAGAATCGACCCTAAGGTGTTTCATTCCCGAGATGCGCAGTGTTTCAACCAATCAGGGTTACACGTTCCAAAATCCTACCTTGGTTACTAAAATGCTATATTTTCACGTGTACTATAGTTTTTGGTTATCAAGGTAGGATTTTGGAACGTAACCCTGATTATATAAATAGAACGTAAATATTTAAAAGAGCACTGTTTCACATTTTATGTTTGTGTTTTAATGATAAAGAAAAAAAACAAAAAATATAAATGAGATAGTAGAAAATTATAGAAAAAGAAAATCATCCCTAAATCAATGATGGACGTGATACAAGGAAATTTGGCTACATTGTCCTCAGAAAATAACAGTAGCCAATTCAATGTTACAAAAGAAAATCTGAAACTTTATGTATTTCATTACATAATAATAATAATAAATTACGTGATTATTTTATTTATTAACACAAAAAGCAATATATTTTCTATACAACACTTATCTAAAAATAGTTTTCCTGTGTAAAAAAAAAAACCTGTCTTAAACACATAATATTACACTTATCTTACAATAAACTTTTAGTATCTTATAATAAACTTTTACTCTAGACTTAAGGCTTGATTCCTCACTGCACTTACTCCTTGGAAGCATGAATTGTAATCTCACTCTGTTTCTTCTTTTTTCACTTGACATTTATAAGGGAAAGTATAGTTTTTATACTAAATGTATCTTTATATGTGTTATATACGATAATACATTAAATATAAAGGGCGTCTTTGCTACGTTTTAGCATGATATCTGAACCGTGGACAACACTTTTTAAAATTATAAACATTTATAGTTGAAAAATTTAAGAGTTTATTTATCTGGCATAATATTCTATATATTCTAAATATTTTATGGATACACTAAATTTGTACAATATCCCCTGTATATATATAGGCGATTTTTGGCGATCCTATGGTACATATACCAAAGTGTACCAAACTATAGTTCGAGTGACTTCAAATTATAATTTGGTACATGTACCATACGATTGCCAAAAATCGTCTTATGTCAAGATATTTAACATATGTACCACAAAGCCTTTTTTACAATTAATGATTATATATTCATATTATACTCATATTAATAAAAAATGAATTACTTATCCCGCGATCAATTAAACTTTACTCAATATATGCATTATTATGCACATCATATAAATACAACAATACAATGTTACACTGTGTTGATCGAGAATCTTTAAAAATGTTCATTTAATTTGTTCATACTGTAGGTTGTGGTTGTGCAGTGAGTGAAGAAGATCCGTCATTATGGGCGGGCATTAGCTGCAGCGTTCTGTTGGGCTTGAATGAATTCGGCATAATCGATATAGCCATCATTGTTAGTATCATCCATGCTAAGTATTGGATCTATCAATTGCACTAATTCTTCATCCTTAAACAGTTTATCACCCTGCTCGTTGTTACCTTGTTCTACAAATATCAGAGAATTTACAATTGCCGTTTGTAATTGCATTGAACGGAATACTGTGAGATAAAAAAGAAGATAGTAGATTTACCATGCCAATGTATCAGAGACTTGATCAGCTCGCAACCGTCCAACTTGTTGTTATTATCTGCATCGTGCATCTTGAAGTAATGAAATTGGAGTTCTTGATCTGACATTTTACTGGTGTCTATTGGAACATCAGCATGTTCTGCAATATGTCTGGTAGAGAAAAATATTTCAATTATAATATTAATTAATAACAACACAAATAAGAAAACTTAACAATATACAAGTTCTATGTTTTCATTGATTAAAGCCCAAGATTTATCAGTTTTATTTTAGTTGACAATCACTATTATCAACTTTAGTCATAAATTTCTATCTAACTTACTCCTTTTCATGAGCTATATTGGCAGTATTAAGTAATTGAGGTTGACCATGAGCATGTCCATGACCTTGACCATGGGACTGCTGTTGCACAGGTACTTGCTGTTGCACAGGTACTTGATGCTGGACTGGTACTTGTTGCATTGGTACTTGCTGAACAGGAGCCTGTTGTACTGGTACTTGTTGCTGCTGTACTGGTACTTGCTGCTGTACAGGCACTTGTTGATACTACAGGAAAAATTTTAAATAAGAAGCATTGAATTAACAACTTTGCAAAAATCAATATTTTAATTTGTATAAATACTATTTCAGTCATTGGTAAATCATAAATAATATCAGACAACAGTATACAGATGTATATAATTAAGATATAAAAATAAAATTACTTGGTGTTGCTGAGGAATATGATGGGCATGTTGTTGGACAGGCTAAAACAAACAATAAAATAAAATAAAATATATACTGATATAAATTTAATAAACACGTGAAAGCAATGAAGATTAAAAAGAACTAATTGAATCAAATAACACTTTTGTGTCAAATGCTACTCAGATAAACCATATGTTTGCCAACACATTCGAAACACATACTTGTTGATAATGCTGCGGTGGCACACCCGGTGCAACTCTTTGCGCTTGAGTGAGCGTATATTTGTATCCAAACGATCCGATGATCAGTATGCACAATGTCCAATACATTTTGCTACACTGTTCAAACAAAATAATGTAAGTTACTTTCGAGGTGGACACGAATGCTGGGATTATAGTCGATTCTCTGTTGCCTTTATGTTGTGTACAATGAAAAAAAATACGATCCCCAATCAAAAGTTGAAAAATACTCTTATCAAATACCTTATCTGTACTAAATAATATCGGAATAATTTGTCATTTGCGTGAATCTCATTCATCGATCGCGGTGCAAGACTCCGAATGACAACCAGACGCAAGCCGTTACTCGGAGATTATGCGGGTTATGTTGGAGAAAACACCTGTAACCGCGACGTGCATGACGTGCACTGACGTGGACGTACGTATATATACTGCTCGGATTTGTTCGGCACTGTTCGGTTGTTTGTATCATAAACGTAACATATACTCTAGAGATGGGTTCCTTCTGACTCCTCCTGGATCCACTTCGGGATTAAAGCTGAATGTACACAAGTGGTCCAATCGCAGGGATTAATTTGCTGAATTGATCACTATGATTGGATCACTGTAGACTTGTGATCGCGCGATCGTCAAGAGTGATCAAGAGGAATCTATTCAAAAAATTGGTCAATTTTTGTCTCCGAGTTGTCATCAGCGGTTACGTTGTGTCCCGCGCGTTGGAGAAAACAACAACAAAAAGTACAACATCAGCGTCATTACGGTGTGCCGATCGCGTCGCTCGTCAAAAAGTTCTCACGTACTTATCGTTTCGACAAGTTTTCACGTAGTAAAACCGGAATATGTTTGTAAAAAGATAATGCGAGATAAGTAGTGTGAGAGATACAAAAGAAAAAAAACTGGTTTTTCTTGGAATTGCCTCCACCGAATAAATAAGATCGTCTCTCACGTGCAATTGCATTGCGCTATTTTCTGGGTTTGCCAAAACGTGTTGTTTACGTTTTTCTCGAGCGGAGATAGAACCGGAGATTAATTCAAAGATAATCAGCGAGGGAAAAAAAATGAAGGTCTAATGTTGTCTAGCAGCCTTGGATGGGTTTGAATTCAGTTCACGTTTCAAGATTTATATGCGTGACTAGATCCACACTCATCCAAGGATACTGGATCCATTTTGCTACAGATCGCAATAACTATGACATTTAAAATTAATTAATAATAATATATTAGAATAGAAACTTTAAGCAGTTTTTTTTTTTGTAAATAAAGATAGAAAAACAAAATTTTGTTTGTATCAATTATGAAGAGAGATGTTCTCTTTTTTCTTCTATTTAAAATGGTATTCACTTCGTATAACAATAATCCTTGCAGAATTATGTTTAGAATTATACGTTTTTTTTATATCTTAGAGATACTGAGAATAGTACATTAACAATTATTATAAAGACTTTGACATTCACAGTTGATTGTTTGCAAATATCATAGACCTTTGTTCAATTCTTGAACTAATATATATATATAATATATATAAATATTGTATTAATTAATTATATAATGTAATATTGACAAGATCGTTGAAGAAGAGTTGAGACTTTAGCTTCTATAATTTGTGTCAAGTGTTCTGAGACTCCAGGCTCAATTCTGCTATAGAGGAGAGCTCCTCCTGATGATCGGCGTTGTCCTGCGACATGTTTGAATCGGACCGGATCTCGTCCAACACCTGTCTGATCTGCGCTTGCAACTGTCCGGCCACTTTGCGCACCGCCATGTAATTCTGCTTGATTTGCTTCGCGTAAGAAAGCATGCCGTCCCACGGAGTTGCGCTTGTGTGGACAAAATAGAGCTCTCTCCACAATTGAATACTAATAGGCGCGACGCTAGGCCAGATCACTCCTGGATTCGGTTCGTACAGAGGATTTATCCACTGTTCCAAAACGTCCGGTTGATTCATGTACGACCACAAACTGTAAGTTTGTTCGGACAAACGTAGCCTTATTCTCTCCGCTTCGGAATCGCCTGACAAGCATGCGTTGATAAGTGTTGACAACGAAGGGATAGCGACAAACGGCAAGCATCTCAGAAAAGTTTTAATAATAATGCTTTTGTTTTTTTTTACATACCTAAGAATGTTCCGTAATTTGACGAATACGCGTGCTTGTACAACTTGATTAGCAAATCCATCGTATATTCGAAACTGAATTGGAACTGATAATGTAATTGATACAAACAATCGAGGAAGAGCAGGAAAGTCGGCGCGTGCGTCGAGTTTTGCGAGTTCGACGGCTGATACGCTGCGTATCGCGTACGACTGAAGAACTGATGACCTGCCTGCAACCATTCGCGCTCTATGAGCGCCTGAAGCCCGCGTACCGTTCGACAATCGGGATTCAGAATCACTTGAGCCAAACTAGTCACCACTAGTGTGGAATCTCTGCCTGCGCTACCTGTAGTAAAAAATTAGATAAACACAAGTCTCGCGCGAATTATTTTTCTTCAAAATAAAATATTAAAAGAGTATTAACGCCATTTTACTTATATGTGTAACGCGGCACGTACCGTGCACTAAAACAGCCGCGACTTCCTGATGCAGGCATTGCGCGGTTACACAGGCAGCGTTTAAAGCACTTTGCACAGCGGACAACCATCCGCTACTATCCAGTTTCGACAGCCATTGCGAAGTTGAACCGTTCATGTCGTTGCAGGCTTCTATCAACTTGTAGAAACTATCCGCTAGATCCTGCGGCCGGGGGATTGGTTTGTGTACTTTTCGCCACTGTGGATAAGCCGTGTCCATTTCTGTGCCGCCTCCTCTAGCTCTGGCACTCTGTGCCTGACTGACCGATCTCGTGTCCACTATGTAACTGTATACTCGTAAATTTTAATGAAAACTGTTCGACATGGATTTAGACTGAAATAATTTTACATGTTTGATTGTATATTCACCCCCGTCTTCCTGGACCTAGAACCGCGTTCAACAGTCTTTCGTCATCTTTACATCTCTTACCGGTAGCTCCGCATAGCGGTTGACTGCTTCTCAACAGTATACTCTGCGATTAATTTCAGATATTGAGTTAAATATTGTTTAAACTTAATAATTTACAAGCACAATCCGTACCCCTCCTTCGTGTCTGTAGCATAAAACAGGAAATCGTCCGCCATCCCTAAACGTAGAAGAAGCTATTATAACTTTATCCTCTATTTGACGTGGCACTATAACCGCTGACGGATACGAGTTGCAGATTTTGTAGTCCCTATTCAAGTAACTGATGCGCCATTCATCTCCGTGTGCTGCCAGTAACCTAGACCATTCGGAGACAGGTGCAAACGCAGTCCATCCATCTTCTATTTGTACGTTGTTGGTTACTTGGGGTCGAAAAAAGAACGGATACTGTAGAGTTTGATCTGTAAAAGGAACGTAATTACATCTCTCTATTTAAGAGTGACTTTAAAATAATGATAGATAATAAATTACCAAGTGATATCAGTTTTTCTATAGACAATATGGCATTGATCAAGTCATTGGTAGAACTAATATCCAACTGAAATATTTGAAAATCCTTGCATTTCAGTATTATGCTACCACCTGGATTTGGAGTATTCAGTTTCCTCTCCACTAGGTCAATATTACGATTCATCAGCTAGCAAAAGAAAACATCAATATAAAGTAGGAAATGAACTTTGTGTTATTTTGATATATATATATATATATATAGTACTAACTGATTATTTAGGTTTTTGATAATCAAAATAGAAACCTATAAACAACCATTACCTCTACACATTAATTAGAGTAAGATTAAATAATAATGAAATTACTGAAAGTATTTAGAATAACTCGTGTTTACCCAAAGCTCTTGTGCGTCATCCTGTCTAGAAGATAAAATAAGATGATGACCACTGATGCACAGTGTTCCGTCCATGCTCTTGTTGCTTCCATCGCTCTTGTCGATCAACACGACGTTGTCCACTTGCGGAATTAATATGTTATCGCCAATATGGTCACCCATTTTGCACTTTCAACCGATCCAAGTTTGTTTTTTTTTTTGTAGATTATATATCCGTGGACACGCAACGCGTGTCCTCAATTTCGTTCAAATGTATTGACACGTGAATTCTCACTCAAATTAGGGTCTCGACAAGTTCTGCAACTACTTTGACAGAACGGCATAACCAAAGCACTGCGGTACTTAATTGAGTTTTATCACATTTTAAACATGACATGATTTTCTTAAATTTATATATCGGGATTAAACCTCAACGGATAATCTCGATCGTACAATTGATTCTGAACATTTTCTGTTTCTCCTGATCAGACTCTAAAGTCAAGTCGGTTGATTGGTGTTCTAATAGCATTGACTCGATATTGTGACGGCTGTGTGTATCGATGATGGAAATCCATGTGTTTCGGAAATTAATAAAAAAAAAACAAAGCTGTACATAAATATCTAGATGATATAATCGATATTTTCTCTTGAGATTGATGAGTTTAATGATTAATTGTACGTCAAGATTCACAAATAAACTTCATATTCGCGAGATAAAAAAAACTCCGTCCTGTTTCCTCGTCCCTTGCTTTTTCTCTTTGTCTTCTGCTTGTGTCAATTTTGAAGTGGTGGCACGAGAGTAGCAGAATTTTCTCCCAACTTTATCATTTGTCGGTTCAAGTAAATAACTTAGTTAATTCTTCGGTGCTTCCACCATTCGGGGAGCGCGCTATCAGCGCTGTTGCATCATTCTATCTTTATTGCTCATTAGATGTAAAACAAAGTCTAAGTGTTTCACAGTGTTTTTGCAGTGTGTTTTCAGAAGTAAACACCAAGTGTGAAAACACTTATATAATAATTTTTAAAAAATTATTACTCTTTGATAATGAAGATAAATGAGAATAGTTTTCTATAACTTTTCGAAGAAGCGGCTTAGATTAGGTTAGGTAAATTAAAGAGCACACGCACACACAATTAATATATTTATCAGTGCACTATATGTGTGTACAATGAGAGAAAAATGTAAAATTGAAAGTTGAAACATTTATGCGATATCTTTATATGTTAATACATTTGAAAAGATAGAAAAGCGTTAAATTGCGGCAATGAATTCGGCACAGGTATAATTATCATTTAATATGAAAGCCATATATACGTGTATATATATGTATGTATATATATATAGATTTTTATTGTCCAGTGACATTTTTTGTATATTTGTGTCATGTTGACAGTTACTTGTTGAATTTCCACCTATCTGGTCCGACATCAAGGTGGAATTGAGAGAATACATTGAATGTCCAGAACGATTGCCCATACATCAGCTGGAAAATGCCCAATGTTACTGGCCACGCAAACCAGATGTTCTTGCGTTGTTGGAGTTTGATTTGGCTCCGGTTGATACCACACTCAGATTCGACCGAGATCTTGTGACCGGCAAAGTCGGCGAGATACAAGAAATCTCGTTGCAAAGCGCAGGTGAAACCGCAAGAAATTCCATGTCTATGACTCGCGCACCCGCACCTCGCACAGACGGAGTTCGAGGTACTTTTATCATATTTTTTTTTCATAAAATATTTTTTATAAATAGAATCTTGAGACTATTTTAAATAGTTTTTTCTTTTAGGTAATCCTAGTAACATACCATTTTGGCCTGGTGGTTTCGATGAACCCAAATTGTACGAAACTGAGATTGAGAGCGACATAGATTTTGAGAAAAATTTGAGAACACTGGCCAAGGGATTTAGCTCGGGTGTAGAATTCAAAAGCGACAACTGTACACCAGTAACCTGCACAAAGAATGAGACAAAAAGTTCATCTTCAAAATCTAAAGAAATTAGAGCCAATAGTGGTAACATTAATTTAATGGCTGTAATACACGAAGAGGAAAAGCTGCTTTCTCTGTGGTCTTCGGGTGAGCAGAAGAAAACAGAAGATGTTCAAGCACCGAGCAGCACCGATGTTCCTTTGGTAGACGACATTTCAGTATTGCCTGAAGAGACAAGTATACCCGTCTTGAAAATATCCGAAAAACAGCCGGAGCTTGCCAAAACAGAATGGGCAGAGCAGTTGGATACGTCCGCGCCAATACCCGACTTCGATAAGAGAATACCCGATCCCGCGATCAGATTCGAATACGAATTGGACACTTTTCAGAAACAAGCGATACTTAAGTTGGAAGAAAACAGCAATGTCTTTGTTGCTGCGCACACTTCGGCTGGAAAAACGACCGTTGCCGAATATGCAATCGCGTTGAGTCAAAAGCACATGACAAGGTATAATGAAATTATGCAACCTTTGTGCAAAGTCAATTCTAATTGATTTTTTTTGTTTTGTTTTGTTTTACTATTCTAGAGTAATTTACACATCTCCCATAAAGGCGCTGTCGAATCAGAAATATCGCGACTTTAAAAGAAAATTTGAAAGTGTGGGCTTGTTAACAGGCGATTCGCAAATCAATCAAAACGCTTCGTGTCTAATTATGACAACGGAGATCTTACAGTCAATGTTATATTGCGCCTCGGATGTTTTGCGAGATTTAGAATTTGTTATATTTGACGAAGTGCATTATATAAATAACGAAGATGTGAGTAACGCGAGGTTTGTGAAGAGAGAGTGTGCGTACGTATCTCTACTAGATATTGTTCTATCATTATTTTAGAGAGGTCACGTGTGGGAGGAAATAGTCATTCTTTTACCGCAAACTATCAACATAGTAATGTTATCAGCAACCGTACCGAATCCCATAATATTCGCGGACTGGGTCGGTCGTATTAAGAAGAAGAAGATGTACGTGATCAGCACCGTGAAAAGACCAATACCACTTTTACATTACTTATATACGGGCACTGACGGTAAAACCAGAGATGACAAATTTTTGGTTCTCGATGGCAACGGCCAATTTTTACTGGATGGGTAAATTCTGTCTCTCTTTCAATCTCTTCGCGTAATCTTTTCAGGAAGCGCGTAATGTAATGCGTTCCGATATTATTGTTTGCCGTATTTAGGTGGTATAAAGCGACGAGTGCGTCCGATAAGAAGAAGGACAAAACGTCGAAAAATCCGAAGAAGAAAATTCAAATGACTCCGAAGCAAGAAGAGGTGTTGTGGAGAGCATTCATAAGCCATCTTCAGAAAAATGTATGTTAGATTTTTTAAGTCTAGATAGTGATGCTGCTTTGTTTTATTTCACGTTATTTTGCGCGTAATGATTGCTTTTATTTACATGAGTATTTGAAGTATTTATACACTTCTATCAATTATGTATAGGATATGTTGCCTGTTGTTGTATTTACGCTCTCGAGAAGGCGGTGCGATATGAATGCTGCCACGTTAAGAAATCTCGATCTAACGACCGCGAGGGAGAAGCATCAAGTGCACGCATTTTTTCAATCCAACATAAGACATCTGAAAGGTAGCGATAGAGAATTGCCGCAAGTGCTTATGATGCAGGAACTTTTGGAGAAAGGAGTGGGCATACATCACAGCGGAATACTGCCAATTTTGCGAGAAATTGTGGAGATGTTGTTTCAAAATGGAGTTGTAAAGGTAAGTTTTTTTTTTTTTAATATTTGCAAAATAAAATTAAAAGAGCTATTGCGCATTTCAGTTGTTATTCGCGACGGAAACTTTTGCAATGGGAGTCAATATGCCGGCGCGCACAGTAGTGTTCGACTCTATACGAAAGTACGACGGGATCAATTTCCGCACTTTATATCCAACCGAATATATCCAGATGGCTGGTCGCGCTGGACGTAGAGGTCACGACACCACGGGGACCGTCATAGTGATGTGCAGAAACGACGTGCCACACTTCAACGATCTGAAGCCCATGATGTGCGGCGAGCCGCAAACGTTGGAGTCAAAGTTCAAAGTTACGTACTCCATGCTGTTGAATTTGAGAAGAGTGAACGAATCCGTTACCGTTGAGGCGATGATGCGCAAATCATTCAAGGAGTCGCCGCTAGCCTCGCAGGAAGCGACGTATAACAACGAGTTGCGTAAGATCGAGCGTGAATTATTGAATCTGCCGGCTCTGACCGAAATGCAGAAGAAGCTCTCTATGTTTTATCAAGTGGCGTTCGATTATCTGGAAGACGTCAAGTTTTTAAGTCCCTACATGTACGAATCGAAAAAAGCGGCAAAAGCCTTGCACGAGGGCAGGATTTTACTGATATCGTGTAGAAATCATTACAATAAACTGGCCATGTTGTTGCAAGTTGTACAACAGAAAAACTTCAAGCAATACAAAGTGTTGATACTCAAGGATACGGAGAACGGCGAGAGATCCAGCTTCGAAACTGACTTCAAGAATTTGCAAGTGCACGAGAAATGGTGCGAAATTGTTGGTCTGACCAAAAAAAAGATATATGTTCCGAGCGATAATCCGTCGCACGAAGTTTTGACTTTGTCCCCGTGGCATATATTGAAGATAACGAAATATCAAATAAAAATTGACTGCTCTTTGATATTGAATGACTGGGAGAAGAGACAAATCACACGATTCAAGTAATAGAAATAACATGAAGCAAAAGCCTCATAAAATTTCAAATATTTTATTGTTATTCTTTTTTTTTCTAGAAACGATTTACCGGGACAAACGTGCCAGGCGGCGATTCAAGAATTAATTTCTCTGTCATTCAATGCTGTGGCCAATATTCAGGTTCTACGCCCGTATATCGAGCCTTCGTTAAAAGATGATTTTCAATTGAGGATACAGCACAGAGACAAACTGAAGGCTAAGCTCGATGACATGAAATGCGTAGAAATTCCCAACTTCGAGGAACAGTTCAAGCCGGTATTCGAACGGAATCAACTCGAGGACAAAAAGCGACAACTCCAGCTTAAACTCAGTAACGAGGGAATGGCGTTGTATCCAGATTATTTGAATATGGTAGCGCTTCTCAAACACTTAAAATACATTGATAATGACGAAAGAGGTTCGTATATAACCGTTATATAACTATATTTGCATAATTTTTTTTGTATAAACAATACAATATTGTAACAATACTTTTCGATGCGCCTCACAGTTGCCCTGAAAGGACGCGTCGCATTGCAAATGGGTAGTAACGAGTTGCTGATAACGGAGCTAATCCTCAAGAACGTGTTAACCGTTTTGCAACCGGCGGAAATAGCGGCGCTATTGTCAGCATTAATTTTTCAACAACGCACAGATTCCGAGCCAAAACTTACACCAAATCTCGCTAATGTATGTACATATTGTCGCTATAATTCGTCTTCTTTTAAAGAAATAGTCGAACCAAAAGAAACGTATTTCTTTCAGGGTTGTAAGATAATGAAAGAGGTGTACGCGGAATTGGAACACTTAGAGCAGTATTACAAATTGGTGACGTTATCACCGTTGAATTTTGGCCTGGTGGAAGTTGTTTACGAATGGGCGCAGGCCAAGTCGTTCGCGGAAATCATGAAGATGACGGATGTTCAGGAAGGGATCATAGTCCGATGTATACAACAACTCGGAGAAACTTTGCGGGACGTTAAAAACGCGGCTGTGACCATAGGTGATCCGGTTTTGAAGGAGAAGATGGAGGAAGCTTCGACCGCGATCAAACGTGACATTGTTTTCGCCGCATCTTTGTACACTCAAGACTAATAATACACATAAGTAATAAACACATATATTATTTCCATTTCATTGCGTAGAAAACGAATATATTTTTCTTATATAAATATATTTATAACTGATGTGATATTTAGAAATATTAATCTTCTTTAAAGGAACAATGATTTTTAAATAAATTATCTTTTGTATGTCGGAGATAATATAGAAGTGTGTTTTTTTATACTATATATTATTTAGACAAATAATATTTTGGGATGTTGAAATAATAGAGCAAAAATTTTACAGAGTTTTAGACAACTTTTTGGTTTTACATATATATAACAAAAACAATTAATACAGCAAATAGTTCAGTAATTCTCTCTCAGTTAAAAGAAAAAAGTTTTTTTTTTAATATCCAACAAATTATGTTAATAATTTTTACAATACTTTTGTATAAAATATTTATGTTACACATTCGTATTATAGTACCCGTTGATCTGGATTATTAAGATTTCCTTGATCCCTGTTTAATTCGGAAATACACGCCCACTGTCCCTCCGAATTTTCACGCCAGAGAGAAACTTTGTTATCTCCACCACTGACCGCCAAAATCCCGCCTGTCAATGACCAGCTAACGTTCCAAATTACATCATCGAAAACATTAAGAACGATCGATGTCCAAGTAGCGTAATCGTTGGATGTCCACACAACCACTCGACGATCTTGTGAGCAAGATGCCAAAGTGGCTCTGGACGGACCAATTGCTGGTGCCCAGGCTACATCTCGGACCTAAGAGCCATTGAAACAGAGGAATGCCAACATTTCAAACAATTTGTTTTTAATGAAAACTTACCCAATCACTGTGCGTTTCCAATTTGTTCTCTTCTATCCATCTGTCACCTTCTTCTTTCCAGATCTTCACCAAATTGTCACAACCACCTGTGGCCAATCTCTTAACAGGGCTGCCTTTTTGTTGATTTGTTGAAGCGTCCACTCCTGTGTCAATTGCTGGACACCAACTGATCGCGTTGCATCCAATTGTATGGGCATTGGGAATCTTTTGCATGTGCCAAGTGTCTCCCGTGTTTGTGAGAATAGAAATCGAGCCGTCTGAACTTCCGCAGGCCAGAAGCGGACCAAACTCGTGAGGTGCCCATTCAACAGAGTTAACAGACGAGTCGTGGCCTGTGTACTCGTATATTTTTGTCCATTCTCCAGACAGTTCTTTCCAGATAATTACTTTTCTGCAAAATTATTATTGTCAGATCTATTTTACATACATATATCATTGTTTTTAACTTTTCCAAGTCTATGAAACAGAAAATTATTGGAGCGCAGCGATGGTACCTGTCGTAGCTGCAAGATGCTAGAAGATTGCCAAATTTCGGATGTGCCCATGCGACTTGCCACACAGGACCGACGTGTCCTTTGAGAACGGCGACCAGGCTTTGAGTGCCATTTTTTAAATCAAATATTTTTACCGTGTTGTCACTCGAACAGGTAGCCAATTTCAGACCGTAATAATCCATTTCCGCGTCGTGAATCATATCCTCGTGACCGGTATCAACGGTATTTAAAACGGACACCATTTTTGGGGCGATCACCACTCTCTCGCGGGCGAGTAAAAATTGTAAATACGCGAAATCTCACTCACGGGAGGAATAAAAACTTACGACAGAGAAAGGTTAGGTGTCTTGTCACTTTACGTACGTGGAAGCATGTGCGCCAGAATCGACTGCGCATATTCTACGCGCGTGTAATTTCAAATCTAGCGGGATAAATAGACGCGATTGCAATTTTTGTTTTACATATTTTTATATATATTTATTATACGCGACAATAAAATCCGCGAAAATTCTCGTCCGGCTTAATTTCTCAGCAAAAAATCCCTCCAAAAATAAAAAAAAAAAAACTCATTTCTTTTTCTCTGTTTTAGTTCAATGTATTTTTTATGACAAAATATGTAGAACGAGAGAAGAGCGAATGTAAAACACACCGCATTTGTGTCTTGCTTTAGCGAATCCGGAAAGATCTTGTTACAGACGTAAACGGAGCTACAGAGAATTTTTTCACATCATCTGTCTCTTCTATTTCTCTATCGAGTGGCATGCATATCGACGTTGCATTCGTAAAAGAAAGTTGTGAAAACGCGAAGAAATACGACCACTAATATGCTCAGAAGAAGGAAGGGAGAGAGGGTGGAAAGTTTGTGCGTGTGGGAAGAGAATCTTCGTGTACAACGGACAGTTCTTTCCAAGTGGTTGTGAGGAACGTGGGCGCGAGAGGCGAAGTTGCCGAGAAAGAAAAAAGGCTCGGTAACCGATATTTCCCTCTCCTCCAACTGTTCTTCCGATCCACTTCTTCACCTAGATTCTATAGCCGTCACCGTTCCCTGCACCGGCTGACCTAGGCGGCGCACATACTTGAGAATCGCGTATCTATGACGATAGAACTCGCGTGAGAGAATTTTCAAGTAATATTCAAATCAATGCTTCGTCGCGGATGTGACCTCTCATCCGCGTTTTCTCGAACAAAACTTCTAAGTATTTCTTCACTCCTCGTCGTTAGAAGCGCACATCTTTTCAAATTGTTTGTCGTTTTTTAAATCAGAGCGACGCTATCTGAAATGACACATATTGCATAAACTTTCCGAGAAAGACAATTGATTATTAAATAATGTAATTACTTTTTAAACTATGTAATCTAATTTTTAAAAGTCTCACAATTTGGGTTTTTAAAATTTACGTGCAAAAAACGAGTTTTTTTTTTTTTTGCACTATCCGACGCATCAAGAATTTTCCGGTTTTTGCCCCACTCTCGCCGCGCTCATACGTCAGTAGCATCGTGCATCGGCAGTAGGGCCCTAAGAATTCTAGAAGGGGGTCATTATACGAGGCCACTGAACGTGGCAAATCCAGCCAGGATACGATCGTCGTTCGGCGCGAGTTGAACGAAACGTGCGCGAGGATCGCTCGAAAGTGACGTCGCCGTCAGTCGTTGTCTTTGTTGTCATCCGTCGTTTGTTCGTAAATGAATTAAACGGCAACTGCTTCACAAACGGTGCAGTTTCAACGCGTCGTTCTCTTTTTCTTTTTTTTTTTTTTTATGCAAATAAAGTGCGTTCTCGAGAGAAAGGATTAAACACACAGAAGTTCCGGTTCCACGGGAATTTATTCGTGTCACGTTCTTCGGAAACAACAAACACAATTGAGGTGAGTTCCGGCACGGACAAGAGTTATTATGAAAAAAAAAACTTTCTCTTTTTAATAAATAATCGAGAATTTAACTAGAATTTGAAGAGATTATTTTATTTAATATTTCGTTATAAGTGTCTGATTTAATGTACAATGTCGATATATTCTGACGTGATACCTTTAACGTTACAGGGAAAAGTATAAAATAAACGTGTAATTTGGTTCAAGAAGCAAACTACTAGCTACATTTAAATTTTTTAAATCTAAAGCGCTCGAGGAGTTAAAAAAATCCTGATTTTTCCTGTCTCACACTTATTCCCAAATTAGAATTTTAATCGGAATCCAACTAACGCTAAGTATTCCGATGAGCATTCGGTGAAATACGTGAGCGGTTCTCTTTCCGCATACCATAGATCTTGCAAAGAGTAAAAAACAAAAATCTAGTCTGTATTACCGTCAATTATATAAGTACATGTACGTACACGCGTGTGCTGCAATGTTTTTTTTTTTTCTAACAAACTGTTTAATAATGAGCTATTAATATCCTCTTCTGTCATTCCCTTCCCATTTACATCACAAAGAAAGAAACGATGTGACGCGTACGTGTGACTTTCGCGTGGATGCAAATAACGTTCCCGTTTACTTCCGTAGCATTCCTCGAAGCAATCACATCGTATTGATGTAAATATTACAAATACATTTTTGATGAACATTACAGATATAGTGGTCAACTTAAAAATTACTTGATGCGCTGAGGATGCGCCGTGAGTTCTGCAACGGTAGGCTTGCCTGCGCCGTTGTGTGGGTGTCGTCGATTTGCCTGCTGCTCTCGTCATCCGCGGCGACCGCGGGTAAGTTCTTTAAATTTTTTTTTTTATTTTCCTTCCGCATTGTTTTGTCGTCGCACTCGCTCCTCTACATGATTCTATGTCCGATCTCTTGTGAGGGGGATATCGAACAAAGAAATGTAAAACTCACTGTCACCTACCAACTCTGTTCGTTTGAAACGAAAGCCTGAAAACAAAAGTCGATATCAAAAAGTAACGGTTCTCACTGATTGAAGTGAAAAGGCATGCTTTTCTCTTCATCGAGCGCTCGACATGTACAATATCGCGCGATATCCTACCTAGAAAAGCATTCGCAGCACGCCAGGTGAGTGTGCTCAAGTATATATAGTAAGTGTGGCAGTAGGATGTCGATGAACCGTTAACCGCCAACTCTAGTTAATTTTATCGTCATCGTCGTCATCGTTATCGTCATCGTCTTTATACGCTACATTTTGACACGAGCGTCCTGAAAAAAAAAAAAAGAAAAAAACGTCACCTGACTTTCCGTCCGTGAAAGTATCTCCACCGTGACCTATTAAAGCGTTTCTCATTCATGTATGACGCATACATCCGGTTCCCGAGGAATGTCATCATTTTGTTTTGTCGAACACGGTTTTTAAAATTCCTTTCTTCTGTATGTATCGTATACATAAGAGAGATTTGAAAACATTATAAATATTAATTATATAACAGCTGATATTAAATTACGCGCGAAGATTTCAAGTTCAGGACCACGCAATATTTTTTGCACGCGTTGTTTTTTTTTTTTTAACAAACGCAGACGTTTTTTTTTAATTGAACGTATTTCATCGTATAATACTAATTCTATGAATTTAATTAAAATTTTGTTTTAAAAAAAATTCAAGTTCAAAACATTTGTCGAATATATACGCGATTTTTATTTCGCGCAGAGTCGCCACGAACGGTCACCGGTCGATGTCCGTTTCTTGACGAGCGGAACGTGTGTCCGTCGAGAGCACCGGCCTGCAAGAATGATCTTCAATGTCAAGGCGAAGTGAACGAGCGGTGCTGCAAAACCGTGTGCGGCTTTCGCTGCGTGCCAGGCGAACTGACCGGATGCGAGCAACTTGCTCAGGCAGCTGTGAGACGATCGCGAGCCCTCGGTGTCCGGGACCCGTCGCAGTTCGTGCCGCAGTGCAACAACGTAACCGGCGAATTCGAGAGAATACAGTGCGACCAGCGCAATTGTTGGTGCGTCAACGAGCTCGGTATCGAGATTCCCGGTACCAGAGCGACCAGCAAAGATGCGATTGATTGTGACAAACCTCGCGCATGTCCGACTCACAGCTGCAGGATGCTTTGTCCCTTGGGATTTGAGGTACAATATGTATTTAAAATCACATCTTCTTGTTCTCATAATTTTGCTTGTTTTTGTCGATACTTACTCGGGCTAGTTTTTTCTCCTTCGTTCTTTATAGATTAACGAGAGCACCGGATGTCCCAAATGTGAATGTCGAGATCCCTGTCGCGGTGTCATCTGTCCGGGGACCGGACAAATGTGCGAACTGATCGACGTGAGCTGCGCGCGACCACCGTGTCCTCCAGTACCCAGTTGTCGAAAGGCCAAGTCTTTGTCGACCATCTGTCTGATGGGCGAGCCGCTGCAGATCATCGATTCACCGCGACCGTTTCTCTGCGGCGTCACGCCGGGCAAACCGACGTGTCCGCCGATGTACAGTTGTCAGGTGGAACCCAAACAAGAATACGGGGTCTGTTGTCCGTCCGTCTTGAACCTGCAACGCGTAGGCACTTGTCCTGCTGCGGAAGAATCGATCGCGGACACGTGCGGGACCAGCTGTCGATACGATCTCGATTGTCCTGGGCCCCAAAAGTGCTGCAGTAATGAGCGTTGCGGTGGTAACGTATGCACGATACCCCAGGGTCTCAGTGTATGTCATCATGATCGCATGCTCGCCGAGATATTGAGCGTCTCCGAAAGACAAGGTCGCGGCTACATTCCTCAATGCACAGAAGGTGTGTAAATAAAATAAATAATATTTATTTATACTTGCATTAAAATCCCAACAATCTTCATGTTTACTTACTGTGATGAAAAAAAGATTCTCAAGTATAAAAAATGATCATCGCAGATGGAGATTTCGAGATTAGACAGTGTTCGAGGAACGGTCTCGTGTGCTGGTGCGTGGACAGCGAGGGCCGAAAGATATCCGGTTCGATGGGTCCGGCTGATAAGGTTGATTGTAAGTCAGTGAACAAGGCGCGCTCGCTTTCGGTGTCTTGCGTTCCTCATCAGTGCGCTCAAGTCTGTCAGTATGGTTTCAAAACGGACGCTTCTGGTTGCTCGACTTGCGAATGTGACGATCCGTGCGAGAGGTAGATATATATAAACGGCGATGAGATGACTGATTAACTCTTAATGCCATCTTTGCATGTTTCTCCCATTATTTTTTTTTAAGCAAAATTGAATAAAAGTTTGGTTCTCGAAAGTACAAGTTGACTCACTTAATGTGCATCGTACAATTATTTTCGTAGATTTCCTTGTCCAGAGGGACAAGAGTGCATTCTAAAACGAGAGGACGGCTGTTCCGATTTTCTGTGCCCAACGAAACCGGAATGTAAGCCCAAAAAGACTTATACGAGTCCTTGTCTGTTCAGCACACCGCTAATGGATCAAAATGGAAATGCTGCGATTTGTTCCGCTAACGAACCTTGTCCTGACGGCCACAAATGCGTATTAGTACCAGAAGCCAATCAATCGGTGTGTTGCGCGGAAGAATCAAGTCCCACCGACAAGGCACCGACAAGTAAGTAATAGTTTTGCCATAATATAAATAACAATTTTATTTTGTTTAAATTGAATAGCGTGAAAATGTTGTTTTCCTTCGTAAAAATTTCAGTGTGCCAATATCTGAGGGATTTCAACGATCGCATGGAAGGTACAAGAGAGGGAATGTCTCTGGCCATTCCGGCGCCTCAGTGCGAGCAGGACGGTAGTTACAAGTCGCTGCAATGTTACAACAACACAGGTTACTGCAACTGCGTCAACCACCGCGGCGTAATTCTGAAGACCGGGCTGGATCCCGCCGCGTCAGACACGTGTAACGCCATAAAAAAACTCACGCGATTTTGCGAGCACGTGTACTGCAATCTGATCTGTCCGTACGGCTACGAGGTTGATGCGAACGGCTGCGAGCAGTGCCGTTGCTACGAACCGTGTCGCGACATCACCTGTGGCCCGCACGAAACCTGCACTATGATCGACGTGAACTGCGGTCCGGACCAATACTGTCCGGCGGTACCGGCATGTCTTACAACTAAGCCGGGCCAGTGCCCGTATCTCGTGCCGAGCTCGTCGAGCTGCGAATTGGAATGCAGCAACGATCAGGAATGTCCTTTCGGAGAGAAATGCTGCTCAACCGGTTGCGGCACGCAATGCGTAGCCCCTGTTATGGCCACGGCCTGCCAGCATGCTCGCGCGCTTGCAGAACACGCTGCCAGAGAATCCGGCGAGCCCGCAAGAAGGATCTACATACCTAGATGCGACGTTGACGGCGCGTTCGAGCCGGTGCAATGTCACAACGGCATGTGTTGGTGCGTGGACGAGGAAGGCAACGAAGCGGCAGGCACTCGGGTCCTCGAAGGAATTGTACCGCGATGTACCATGCCCTTGAGGTGTCCAGAAACAAACTGTAATCTCGACTGTCCGAGCGGCTTTGAGTTGGACGCGGACACCGGTTGTCCAACGTGCTCGTGCCGCGACCCGTGCAAGATTGTGACTTGCCGCGGAGAGAACGAAGCCTGTAGAATGGTTGAGGTGGCGTGTAGCGCACCGCCATGTCCTCCCGTGCCCGTTTGCTTGCCGAAGAAGGATAATCCATGTCCAAACGGTTCGCCGTTGCTCGATCAGGACGGCTCGGTTGCCACTTGCGGTCCCCACGGTCGCCAGTGCCCATCCACTCACAAATGCGAGTTGTCGCCGCTAGACGAGTACGCGGTATGTTGTCCAAAACCGCGCGAGGTATGTTCAGAACCGCCCAAAAAAGTACCCTGCAATCTCAGCGCGGGTGTTAACGAAACCGAACGGTGGTTCTTCGATTCGGAACACAACGAGTGTCAGCGTAAGCTTGAGTGTACTTCTGGCCACAACGACTTCTCGAGCCGACCGGAATGCGAGACCGTATGTCCCGTTCTGTCGCAATGTGAGATGTTGCGGGAGAAAAACTTGAAGAAATCCCAAAGGCTGAAACAACCCACGTTTCTACCTAAATGTAATCCCGATAACGGGATGTGGGAACCGGTACAGTGTCTGGAGCACGTTGGTATCTGTTGGTGCGTTAATCGCAAAGGACAGCCGGTCAAGGGTTCGCTAATCAGAGGCGCCGAGCCTAAATGTAACTTCCGACAGGCTAGACGAAACAACAGAATATCGCAATCGCAAGAACTGGATGAGATTCAAGCAATCATGAAGGATTTGCTTGAAGAGAACGACGAACAGCGTACGGAAAAGATTTTAGATACGAGATGTCGCGCGATGAGGAACAAGGGTCAGTTAGCAGCTATGTGCGACTCCGAAGGCAGATTCGAGCCTACGCAGTGCGTCGACGACACTTGCTGGTGCGTCGACGAAGCTGGCAATCAAGTAGCCGGTTCCGAGCCGTTTCTCAAGGGAACGAATATTTGCTGTAAGTGCAATATACATTTTAGTGTCAGTTTTTTTTTTTTTTTTTCAATAATTAATTAGTAATTATATAAATAATTTATTTTTAGTGCCTACATCGGTCGAAGCTGTTGAGGTGACATTACGATTTCCCGGTCACTTTCTTGCCACAGACGAGGCGCTGTTCGCCAGAGAGGTGAAAGCTTTTCTTCACGAGCTCGGCGCGAAGCTTCGGGAAGACGTGAAGGTAGAGATCACGGAAGATTCGGCGATCCTGAGATTCGAAATTGTCGGTGCGAACAAAGTGGACGTGGCGTTTCATTTGGAGGAACTCGTGCGAATCCAAAAGCTGTTCATGCTGGGTTCATCGGCGGACGCGACAACCTCGCGCTTCACGCATCATTCCGCTCCCGCGGAAATGATGAAGAACGACGAGATTGTCGCTGTGGAGCAACGCGAGATACTTACGCAAACGGAAACGCCGCTCTATCAAACAACGATGTTTTTCTTCGTGGCTGGAAGTGCTTTCATTGTCAGCGGTCTTGTTATTTTGCTGATGCTTTATCGTAAGAAAGTAAAAATATGCAAAGATTCAGTGCCGTTTGTATCTCAAACTGCTCTGTTATAGTCTCAAGACTGTATCAGTCTCGACTCTTTTATTATGTTAGAACTTTTTATACTGTATTTATTATATAAAGTTACAAAATATCAATTACATATTGAAGTAATTGTTTTCTTTGAAAATCGACGTTCTTTAAACGATAATTATATCTGAGAGTGTAAATTGTAAATACATATTTTAAGTAAAAGACGAAAAAAAAGAATTGCAATATTTGCAATATTTAACTGCACTAACGATCACAATAAAACGTATATTATTATATTTAATAAATTATATATGAAAACAATAGAAAAATTAATTTTTCTTTTTTCTTCAAGTTTAAAATTCTAAAAAATATTTATGTGTTGCTCGTTAATTAATATTGATACCAAGTTCCGAATACCTTAAAGTAAAATGTTTTACATATTACAAGTCTTAACCTGACTTGACTTTTTTGCGGCTCGAGGGCTCCAATAATCCGCTCGCAAAGTCATATACCGAGAACTCTTCTTTGAACCGAGATCCTTTTGAAACTTAACCGTCAATACCGGTTCGGTTCGGTTTGGTAGTGGCTAAAGGGCCGTTAATATCCATACGCCATTCTGTCAACCGTCAATACCAGGGTTAGGCACGTATTATACGTGAGNTATTTTACATTGTATTATACTTGAGGTCTGTTCTTTTTACTTGAAATGGCTACACTAGTTCAGAGATTATCTTTCTTCTTCCAATGTAGAGTGAAAAAAATGAACTCTGAACTAGTGCAGCCAGTTCAGGTAAAAAGAACAGACCTTTGGTATTGTACCAGAGAGAAACCTGAGAGCGGCCATTCTATTGTAATTTTTTACGATGGTTTCAACCGCTGGTTTTAGCCGTATTTCCACAAAAGTGGAACTCAAAGGCCGTTCTACATTAAACGCAAGTATCTGATCTCGTGGAATTGACCAATTGCAGAGTCAAATCGACCAACGTGATTGATCAGTTCCACGAGACCTGCGACTTGAGTTTCATGGAGAACGGCCTTTGAGTTCCACTTTTGTGGAAATACGGCTAAAACCAGCGGTTGAAACCGTCATAAAAAATTACAATAGGATGGCCGCTCTCAGGTTTCTCTCTGGTTTTATCCACCTATCCATCTATCTCCATTTTCTCTCCAGAAATATTGTGTTTCTTGGAATTACACTCATAGCGTATCTCTAACTTTTGCTTCAATTCTGCAAGTATGTTTTCCACTTCATTTATCTATAAAATACAAAATGTTTTTACATATACATATGAATTTTACTGTTTCTATATATATATGTGTGTTTATAACTTATTTTATATATGTTACTCTTTTTTTATACCTGATCAGTATTTATATTCGTAGAATACACTGATTTGCTATTTTTATAGTCCGTAGTTTTTCTTATCCACTCAACTGTTTCTAACCATCTCTGCAACATAATGTAAGCATTCTCATCATCTCCTTCTTTTCTTAAATCATCAGATTTCTGTCGCATAGTGGGAAGCCTTGAATTTACACTGCGTGGCTCTTTTCCCGCCATATTAACTTTAGCCTTTTTTACAAGGTCAGCGATACAAGTATATTTCAAATTGGCTGTATTAGACATTTTGTTTGCTTTCAGAGATATTTTGTTCGCTACTTCAGAGAACAATGTTGAGAACAATATGTGAGGAATGTAAATAGTCCAATATCTGTCGTGTGTTAAAAAGAGGTGCAGAGGTTAATCGCTTAATCTATTTAGTCTAGAGCTACACGGACAAGTGCTCATTAATTACTTATGTTGATTCGTGGAGGACGAAGACGTCAAATAAATTAGAACAACTATTTTGTCCTGTGTTTATCATCAGTTAGCACTATCATATCACTGAGAAATCCTTTCTGTCACATAAATTTATTATCATTTACTATTTAAACAAAAGTTGTACTGAATCACACATACGCATACATACAGTGACATACACTCCCTTTCTGATTGGTTTGGTGCATATATGGCTCAAAGGACCGATGCCCTTTCTGATTTGAAATATTGGGTGCGTTCAGACAACTCACCGGTTGAGAGATCATCACTTATGATAGGATTATTCTTAAAAATCTAATGCGGTTAAAAATTATGATCCAATCAGAAGTGATGATCTCTCAACCGTTGTGCAACTGTTGAGTTGTCTGAACGCACCAATTCTCATAAACTATAGATGTCACTGAAAGTATTATAATGTAGCGGTTGATCACTTGGTAGCAGCACTATCGAAAATACATTGGATCATTGGGTGCGTTCAGATAACTCAACGGTTGAGAGATCATCACTTATGATAGGACTATTCTTCATAATATGCAGCGGTTCCAAAAGTATGATCCAATCAGAAGTGATTATCTCTCAACCGTTGTGCAACTGTTGAGTTTTTGTCTGAACGCACCCATTTACTTTAGCTGCGTTCCGTTTCATGCATATGCGCACATTTGTCTATATTATACGTGACGTGTACTATAGATAAGTGCTCGCATATGCGTGAAACGGAACGCACTCTTTAGCCTATGTCACACTACGGATTGGGATTGAGATTGGATTGAAATTTGACCAATCAGAAGAAAGAAAACCAATCCTAAATTTAGTGATCTCCGCTCTAATTGGCCAAATTGCAATCCAATTTCAATCCTAATCCGTAGAGTGACATAGGCTTTTGATTGGTGGATTTTTCATCTTTTTTTTGTTTCATAGATAGATGAAACCACTGAACTATAATATGGAATGCGCCTTGCCATTGTGCAAGCTGTCCGCGATAGAGAGCATCACAACTAGGATGTTGAAGATTGGTTGACTTTAGAAACATTAAACAACAACCTCACTTATCGAATTAAAGCTAGTATTAATAAAATAATCGCATTGGCAGCAAACTTTTGTCATTCAAATTATCAAGGAATTTTATGTGTAATGACCCTTACAGGATAAAGAAATTTTTGAATTTCTAGTACTTTTCTATTCTAGGCCAATCAACAAGCTTAAAAACTTTGTTGACAAATGTAATTTGCATTTCTACAAACATAATAGTATACTTCGATAAATATTATACGTTTTTTACGTATTTTACCGTAAAAAACTGTAAAATGTAAAAAACTCTAGATAATGCTCGAATAACCCAACCCTGGGGGTCGATTGTATATCCGAAGTCTAGTGAAAATCATAAAAATGAGCAAATTTACTAGTTGTTGACCAATAAGATCATAGATATTTTAGTAAATTTGCTCACCTTTGTACTTTTCACTACACTGCGTGATACACAATCGACCCCCTGGTCAATACCGTTATCAATCCGCGATAACAAAAACAATCGCTCTGGCCAATTCGACCAATCGATTTAGCAAATCGACGCAACTCCGTCCGAGAACTCGAATTTTTGAATAGCAAACACGAGACTCGCGTCACGTGACGTGGAATGTACGCTTTTCGATGCGCGCGCAATTGCCACGTGGTGGGGAAAGTTGTGTGCATCCGAAAATCCTACCATCTTTCTCTTCGCTGTTTCTCTCGGTGAGAGATTAAAATTTAATTTAAACAAATTTATATCTTCAAGTTTTATTGCTATTCGTGGGCCATATTCGCAACATGTTGCAATCTATATTCGACGATGTTCGTCGTATGAATAAACGACAGGTAAATAAAATTACTCGTGACACAATTGTCACCGCGGTCACATACGGCGGTTATGACTGGACACGTAAATATTTTTTTATTTTCAGTTTCTGTATCAGGTGCTAAGCTTTGGTATGATAGTTTCGTCCGCGTTGATGATATGGAAGGGTCTGATGGTTGTCACCGGAAGCGAGAGCCCTATCGTGGTAGTATTAAGGTACGAAAAACCCAATCTCTCTTGCTGATTCTACTCTAACCTAACATCAAGTTTGTATTAATTCACTGTGTATTCAGTGATTGTATCGTGTTAAACGAAAAATTTTGCTTCCGGAAATAATCACATTTCCTGGCAAAAAACCTGTCAATTATCTCGGTGGTTCAGGACGAAAAGAATGCAAGATTAACACGAGAAAGAATTAGAACTGATCGGTGACGGATCCATCTCTCGCTACAACAAAAAAAGATTAGTCAGTGTTTCTGATGAAATCTGACCGATTCTTTTCTTTATCGTTGTGGTGATGGAGACACTTTTCTTAACAAGGCTACTGTATACATGTATTACTCACATAGACCAAGATCAATCGTTCGATATAAAATTGTCTCAGCAATTAAACATGTTGATCATTTTTTTGACAGCGGAAGCATGGAGCCTGCATTTCACAGAGGCGACTTGCTATTTCTGACCAATTATCAGGATGAACCAGTGAGGGTGGGTGAGATTGTTGTTTTCAAAGTTGAAGGCAGAGACATTCCTATTGTGCATCGAGTACTTAAGCTTCACGAAAAGTAAGAACCAACAAAAAGTATAATTTGCAAATGAGAATGACAAAACCCAAGTTTAACATAACACAACTTAAAACCTGAACAATTTTTCAGAGGCGACCAAAATAATACAGTCAAGTTTCTCACAAAGGGTGATAACAATTCTGTTGACGATAGAGGTTTGTATGCGCCCGGTCAACTGTGGTTGACGCACAAGGATGTGGTCGGTCGAGCAAGAGGATTTTTGCCGTACGTCGGAATGGTCACGATTTATATGAATGAGTATCCTAAGTTCAAATATGCGGTACTAGCGTGTCTCGGATTGTATGTTTTAGTTCATAGAGAATAAAAAAATTGCCTCATATATTAAGAACGGTTTCAATAAATTTTGTTATAACAATGTTAAGCCTTTTGTATTCGAGTGTTTGTGTTAAGGACCTTTTGTATTAGTAATAAATCAGAAGTCAGAAGCAAGAAATTGACCAATCACAGTCAAATCGCAGAAGAATGATCGATTGTGATTAGTCAATTTCTTGCTTCTGACTTCTGATTTATTCCTAATATCTTATTGTAGAAAAGGCCCTTTTGAGTTAACTCAATCGAGACCAAGTTCATCGAGCTTGAAACTCGCTCGCTTTGTTCTGATTTGTCAAGTTCCTATAAAAACCCTCATTATATTGATTTGCGGAATTGACCAATCACATTGGATCATTCCGGCTGTGCGATTGGTCAGTTTCAGAGAAAATATCTTAGATACTTAAAAGAAGCCGAAGAGCAAATCAGATGGCGTCACGTACGAAGATGCAGAATTGCTCGTTTATTTGCGATTGGTTGACTGCCAATAAATTTTTTCCGATTGTTTGACTGTATATGATGATCTAAATGTGATCGCACCATTATTTGATTGTTGGCAACAACAATCAACTGTAACTGCGTCGATTTTTACAGTGATTACTATTAACTTGACGAAGAACTGCACACAGCACAAGTGTAATACGATTTACAACTATTTACTGTATATAATCGTGTGCGAAAATGGCGGACGCTGCAGCTCGTCAACTGCAGTATGAATATAAAGCGGTTTGTATATTTCTTATTTAAAAGAAGTGACAAAATTGTCGTATGGTTGATTTATTATGTTAACGTTTGCAGAATTCCAATCTCGTTTTACAAGCCGACGTTCGATTGATAGAAAGACGAAGCCGTGATGAGGCCACCGGTGAGGTTATGTCCCTTTCGGGAAAGCTGGATGGTACACGTATGGGTGACAGAGCCCAGCGTACTAAACCAGGAAAGGCCGAGGAGAGAAAAGTCAAGTAAAGATCTATCAATATTTTTTCTTGCTTCTAACAGAATATTGCTCTCCTACCCTAACATTACAATATGTTTATCTTACACTTCCTAAAAAATGGAAAGATTAATAAAAGTACTAAGATAATATTCTGATAATTTATGTTTTAGGCGTCAGAAACGTGATGAAGCACAGTACAATTTCACACGCATGAAAGGAGCGACATTGCTGTCTGAGGGTGTGGACGAAATGGTTGGTATAGTATATCGTCCAAAGACGCAAGAAACGCGTCAGACTTACGAGGTGTTGCTCAGTTTCATACAAGAGGCTTTAGGTGATCAACCCCGCGACATTCTTTGCGGAGCAGCTGATGAGGTATTAGCTGTCCTTAAGAACGATCGCTATAAAGAGAAAGAAAAGAAGAAAGAGACGGAACTTCTGCTGGGCCCGCTGGCGGAAGAGAGATTCGCGCTGCTTGTGAATCTTGGGAAAAAGATCACGGATTTCGGCAGTGAGGAAAAGAGCACGGGAAACGAAGAAAATATTGACGAAACGTACGGAATTAACGTACAGTTCGAGGAAAGTAGCGAGGACGATGACGAGGATGTGTACGGAGAGGTTCGAGAAAACGACGACGAAGGTGACGAAGGCGAAGAAGCTAATGACAACAGAGCGATTCACGCGGAGAATGTAAATGTTTAACAGCAATTTACTTAAAGTGAACATTTATCTAAAGCGTGTTTCTAATCTAATGTGTGTGTTTCTTTCAGTTGGGTGGAACAGAAGAAATGAAGAAAGAAAAACCGCTGCACCCGTTAGACATAGATGCGTATTGGTTACAGAGAAGATTAAGTAGAATATACGACGACGCGATGGTTTCGCAAGCAAGAGCCGCCGAGGTGCTGGCTGTTTTGAAAAACGCTGCTGATGATCGCGAGTGCGAGAATCAACTGGTTCTTCTGCTGGGTTACGATTGTTTCGACTTTATTAAACAGCTGAAAAAATACAGGCACACAGGTACAACAATATGGCACAAGTGTTGCTTAATTAATTTTTCTACCTTGTGCGGTACTTAAAATTCTAAATCAAATACAAACAAAGAAGATAATAAATTTTTTATTCCGTGAAATTTGCAGTTGCGTACTGTACAATGCTGGCCTCGTCACAGTCCGAATCTGAAAGACAAAAAATTCGAAACAAAATGAATGACGATCCGATGTTGGCGAAAATCTTGCGGCAGTTGGACACGGGCAAAGGCGACGACGATGCTGACGAAACGATGGAAGCAAGAGCGCAACGTAAAAGACGGGAAGAGAACGAGGACACGGGAGGACCCGGCGGACAGGTTCAGGGAACAAGAAACCTGATAGATTTGGAAGATTTGATATTCGCTCAGGGAAGTCACTTCATGGCAAACAAACGTTGTCAGTTGCCTGATGGTAGTTTTCGAAAGCAACGAAAAGGGTGAGTATAAATTTTTTTTTATATCGCGCAAAATTATTTAATTTGTTCAATTTTTAATTCATACGTTATTTGAAACTATTCGCAGATACGAAGAAGTTCACGTTCCTGCTTTAAAACCGAAGCCATTTGCAGATAACGAAAAGCTGCACCCGATCGAACAGTTGCCCAAATACGTGCAACCCGCTTTTGAAGGTTTCAAGACATTAAATCGTATACAAAGTCGTTTGTATCAAACAGCTTTGGAAAGCGACGAGAATCTGTTGCTATGCGCTCCGACCGGAGCCGGTAAAACAAACGTGGCTCTGCTGTGCATGATGCGAGAAATTGGAAAGCACATAAACGCCGACGGTACGATCAATGCGGACGAGTTCAAAGTGATTTACGTCGCACCGATGCGTTCACTGGTTCAGGAAATGGTTGGCAACTTCCGCAAGCGACTGTCGACGTACAATCTCACCGTCTCCGAGTTAACGGGTGATCATCAGTTGACGCGGGAGCAAATTGCCGCTACGCAGGTGATAGTGTGCACTCCGGAGAAATGGGATATTATAACGAGAAAGGGTGGCGAGAAAACCTTCACGTCGCTGGTGCGACTGATCATTATCGATGAGATTCATTTGTTGCACGACGAGAGAGGTCCTGTCCTGGAGGCATTGGTCGCAAGGACGATACGAAACATCGAAACTACCCAAGAGGATGTGCGACTCGTCGGATTGTCGGCTACATTACCCAATTATCAAGACGTTGCGGCGTTTTTACGTATCAAACCGGAAACGGGGCTGTTCTACTTCGACAACAGTTTCCGTCCCGTGGCTCTGGAACAGCAGTACATCGGCGTCACCGAGAAAAAAGCGTTGAAGCGCTTTCAGGTGATGAACGAGATCGTTTATGAGAAAACTATGGAGCATGCCGGCAGAAATCAGGTCTTGATATTCGTGCACTCTCGCAAGGAAACCGGCAAAACGGCGCGCGCCATCAGAGACATGTGTCTAGAGAAGGATACTCTGGGTCAGTTTCTCAGAGAAGGTTCCGCATCGATGGAGGTTCTGCGAACGGAAGCGGAGCAAGTGAAGAATCAAGAGCTCAAGGACTTGTTGCCGTACGGTTTCGCGATTCATCATGCCGGGATGACTCGAGTGGATCGTACTCTGGTAGAAGATCTGTTCGCTGACAGACATATACAGGTTCTTGTGTCTACAGCTACTTTAGCTTGGGGCGTTAATCTACCGGCTCACACCGTAATCATCAAGGGAACGCAAATCTATAATCCAGAGAAGGGCAGATGGGTGGAGTTAGGCGCTCTGGATGTTCTGCAAATGTTGGGACGAGCCGGTCGACCGCAATACGACACCAAGGGCGAGGGTATTCTCATAACAAATCACAGCGAATTGCAGTATTACCTGTCTCTTTTGAATCAACAACTTCCCATCGAATCACAATTGATTAGTAAGATGTCCGACATGTTGAACGCGGAGGTGGTGCTGGGTACAATTCAAAACATCAGAGATGCGGTCACCTGGCTTGGCTATACTTATCTTTACATCAGAATGCTTCGTTGTCCGACTCTGTACGGAATAAGTCACGATAAGCTGAAACAGGATCCTCTGTTGGAACTACACAGAGCTGATCTGATCCATTCGGCCGCCATCGGATTGGATCGTAGCGGCTTGATCAAATACGATCGTAAATCCGGCAACTTTCAGGCGACCGAGTTAGGCAGAATAGCGTCTCATTATTATTGCACTCATGACACAATGTCCACGTACAATCAGTTGCTGAAACGCACGTTGAGCGAGATAGAATTGTTCCGCGTGTTCTCACTGTCCAGCGAATTCAAGAACATAAATGTCAGAGAAGAGGAAAAATTGGAGTTACAAAAACTGATGGAGAGAGTGCCGATTCCGGTGAAAGAGAGCATCGAAGAACCGAGCGCAAAGGTGAATGTTCTTTTGCAAGCGTATATCTCGCAATTGAAACTCGAAGGATTTGCTCTAATGTCTGACATGGTGTTCGTGACACAATCCGCTTCTCGTCTTATGAGAGCTATCTTCGAGATAGTCCTGTTTCGTGGTTGGGCTCAACTGGCGGACAAATGTTTGTCCCTTTGCAAGATGATCGATCGTAGAATGTGGCAGTCCATGTCGCCGCTCAGACAGTTTCGCAAGATGCCAGAGGAGATCGTCAAGAAAATTGAAAAAAAGAACTTCCCGTGGGAAAGATTATACGATTTGGGCCCCAACGAGATCGGAGAATTGATTCGCGTGCCGAAACTGGGCAAGACAATTCATAAGTACGTTCATCAGTTCCCGAAATTATGTCTGTCGACGCATATTCAGCCTATCACGCGCTCCACCCTACGTGTTGTGCTCACTATTACGCCGGATTTCCAGTGGGACGAAAAGATTCACGGTATGTCGGAAGCGTTTTGGATCCTGGTCGAGGACGTGGACTCGGAAGTGATATTGCATCACGAGTACTTCTTACTGAAAGCAAAGTACGCAACCGACGAACACATAATCAAATTCTTCGTACCGGTGTTCGAGCCTCTGCCGCCGCAATATTTCCTGCGAGTTGTGTCTGATCGATGGATCGGCGCGGAGACGCAATTGCCCGTGAGTTTTCGACATCTGATACTACCGGAAAAAAATCTACCTCCTACGGAACTGCTGGATCTGCAAGCGTTACCAATCACGGCGCTGCGAAATACCAAATTCGAGAGCATCTACTCCGAGTTTCCGCAATTCAATCCGATTCAAACGCAAGTGTTCAATGCGGTCTACAATTCGGACGATAATGTATTCGTCGGTGCGCCCACGGGTTCGGGAAAGACGACCATTGCGGAATTTGCGGTGCTAAGATTGCTAACGCAAAACCCGGACGGTCGTTGCGTGTACATGGTGAGCAAAGAGGCCTTGGCTGAACTGATCTACGCCGATTGGACAGTGAAATTCAATCAACAACTGGGCAGAAAGGTCGTTCTTCTGACCGGTGAGACGGGAACGGATTTGAAACTGCTGGCCAAAGGACAGATCATTATTACTACAGCAGACAAATGGGATGTGTTGTCACGTAGATGGAAACAACGGAAAAACGTGCAGAACATACAGTTGTTTATCGTAGACGAGCTACAGCTGATCGGTGGCGAAGAGGGTCCTGTACTGGAGGTCGCGTGCTCACGAGCGCGTTATATCTCCTCGCAACTCGACAAACCCACCAGAATAATAGCGTTGTCTGCTTCGTTGGCCGACGCAAAGGACGCAGCTCAATGGTTAGGTGCGCCAGCGGCAGCGACCTTCAATTTCCACCCGTCTGTGCGACCGGTGCCTCTAGAGTTGCATGTACAAGGTATAAATGTAACTCATAACGCGTCAAGATTGGCCGCCATGGCGAAACCGGTATACAACGCGATTCTACGACATGCCGAGCATAAGCCGGTGATTGTGTTTGTACCTACTCGACGACAAGCAAGATTAACAGCTATTGATCTATTGACGTTCACGGCGGCCGAGGGTCAACCATCGAGGTTCTTCCATGCGGAAGAGGCCGACATCAAGCCGTTCCTCGACCGGATGGTCGACAAAACATTGAAAGAAACTCTATCACAAGGCGTGGCTTATCTTCACGAGGGTTTATCTACTGACGATCGTCGCTTAGTGGAACAACTATTTGACAGCGGCGCTATCCAAGTGGCAGTCGCGACGAGGGATCTTTGCTGGGGTCTATCTATTAATTCGCATCTTGTTGTGGTTATGGACACACAATGTTACAACGGTAAAACGCACGCGTACGAGGACTATCCGATCACTGATGTTTTGCAGATGGTGGCGCGAGCCAATCGTCCGCTGGAGGATGAAGACGCCAAGTGCGTGCTCTTGTGTCAGAGCTCGAAGAAAGATTTCTTCAAAAAATTCTTGAACGAACCGTTACCAGTGGAGAGTCATCTAGATCGCCGGCTCCACGATCACTTCAACGCGGAGATCGTTACGAAAACGATCGAGAACAAGCAGGACGCCGTCGATTATCTCACGTGGACTTTCCTTTATCGACGACTTACTCAAAATCCTAACTATTACGGTCTGCAAGGTGTTACGCATCGGCATCTCTCGGATCATTTATCCGAACTGGTCGAAAGCACATTAACAGACTTGGAACAGGCCAAATGCGTCGCCATAGAAGATGAAATGGACACCTTGCCGCTCAATTTGGGAATGATTGCTGCTTATTATTACATCAATTACGCCACTATCGAATTGTTCAGCTTGTCTCTCAACAACAAGACGAAGATCAGAGGTTTATTAGAAATTATTTCGGCAGCTGCTGAATACGAAAGCGTTCCGGTGCGACAGAGAGAAGAGAATTTACTTAGAAGTCTGGCTGCGCGTCTACCTCATGCGCCACAGGTCACAAGAATGGCCGATCCTCATGTGAAGGCACAGCTTCTGCTACAGGCTCATCTATCGAGGATACAGCTTGGTCCAGAATTGCAGAAAGATACCGAACTGGTGCTGGGCAAAGCCGTGAGATTAATACAAGCCTGCGTCGATGTGCTGAGCTCTTCTGGATGGTTAGCACCTGCCGTCGCTGCTATGGAACTTGCGCAGATGGTGACGCAAGCAATGTGGTCCAAGGACTCTTATCTGAAACAACTACCGCATTTCACCGCAGAAACCATTAAACGTTGCACCGACAAAGGCGTGGAAACGGTGTTTGACGTGATGGAGCTCGAGGATGACGACAGAAATCGATTGTTGCAACTGACCGACGCGCAGATGGCGGATGTTGCTAAATTCTGCAATCGTTATCCTAACATCGAGATGTCTTACGAGGTGCAAGATAAGGACAAGCTTCACAGCGGTGGCACTGTGAATGTGATTGTACAATTGGAACGTGAGGACGAGGTCACCGGACCGGTCGTCGCTCCGTTCTTCCCGCAGAAACGTGAGGAAGGCTGGTGGGTGGTAATCGGTGATCCGAAGAGTAACTCGCTATTGTCTATCAAACGGCTGACGTTACAACAAAAAGCGAAAATTAAATTGGACTTTGTTGCTCCGGCACCCGGTCAACATTCCTACACTTTGTACTTTATGAGCGACGCCTATCTCGGTTGCGATCAGGAATATAAGTTTACCATAAACGTCGGGGAATATGAATCGGATGCAAGCTCGGGTTCGGATTCTGATTAAAGCTATTTAAATCCAATATCCGGTTATTTTGTCGTATTTTCCTCCATTTTGTATAACATTTTTATTTATCACAAGCAAAAATCATTCTGTTGAAATCTTATTCTCTTATTTCTTAACATTAAAATCTGTCAAAAGAATGTGCACAGCAAATTAATAAGAAAACTTATTATCAACTCAGATTTAAAAAAGAAATAGATATATTGTCATAGATAATTATTGTTAAATAACTAGGAATAAAATTTATATTTAAATATTATTTATAAATAGATTATTACTTGAAGTATCTCTCTCCTGTTTCTTCATTGCGCGACATCAAACATGCATTTTATAGAGACATCATTTAAATGAGCGATTAAGGCACGTTTGAAACATTTTTATATAAATGATACAATTTTATTTTAAATCTTCATTTAATGTATATCCACAAGAGAGATGAAGAAAGTATTTTAATCTATCTTATTTCTACGTACGTGTGTATTTTGTATGTATATATATATACATATATATATATATATATGTAATATAGGTATATGTTTTTAGTGTATACATTCTCTCTTCTATATATTTCATATATATGTATATATATGTATAATATATAATATATATTTCACATATATATATATATAATATCCACTTCATCATATATTAATATTAATGCGAGCACATCTACATATTTTATAGTTTGTTGATCTATTCATAAATGCATACCTGTATTTTTTTTTTCTTTTTTTTTACACCAATCGACAATACAGAAATATGCTCGCGTTATGCACACATGTATACTTACATACTTCACGAGAGAATGATCTCGGTCTGCGTATCTAGGTAATAAAAGCAAGAAATAAAGTTACTTAACACTAAAGAGGATTGTATAAACTAATGCAAAGAGTTCAGTTTTATCATGAAACTGGTTGTAACACAGAAACAAAAGAAATAGTTTTTTCAATTCAGCAAGCATACTTCTATACAAATGCGGTTTAATATAAATGTTCATCGTTTTTCTAGTTTTGTATCTATTCAAACGTTTTTATCGTTAACATTTTTCAAATTAATGGAAATTCGAATAAAAATTTATCTTTGTGATGTAAGACAATTCGTCATTAATTGAATCAATTCACAAACCACAAGAGATTTATAGATTTATCTTAGATTCTAAAGAAGAGATCTGGCGAAAATCGAGGTCTATTTTCTCTCGTGAGGAAAAAATAATGTACGTTATCTTTTTTTCACAAAACAATTTCACAAACGATCTTACCACTGCAGTTTACAAGACTGTCAGTAAACTACGAGAAAATTTAAGTCAAGCTGTTTCGTCATTATTTCCGGTAAGCAGACGCGCGTTGTGATGATAATTACGCTTTGTACCATATGGAGATTGCTGCTGAGTTTCGTACATCTTTCGATTCTCTAAATACTTTCGGTAACTGTTTTCTCGTTTTCGTCGCTGCTCTTCCGCTTGTTTTCTCAGTTTTTCGGGATTCATGTGCGTAGTTACCATGTGCCTTGTCAACGAACTCATGAATTTGTACGTGATCCCACATACGTCGCAGGAAAGTATCTCTTCGTTGCCACCCTTTTGCTACGTGGAAAAGAAAAATAACAACTTAACAGATCGAAGTAAAATTGCAGCTGCATTGTACGAAAGACATCAAATTACATTCGGAGTACTTTTTCTGAATATATATCAAGGAAAAACTAAGAAACAAAGTATATAAATTAAAATAATTGGGCACGCACACATACTTGCTGATGCACCATCATGTGTCTCTGCAGATTATTCAATCTGTTGAACTCGCGACCGCACACTTCGCAATCGAACTTTTTGTCGGGCTCGTGATATTTCTTGTGCATGCTCAGATCAGTTATGTGATAGAAGGTCTTCTGACATATGTCGCACGTGTATTTGCGCTGGTCGTTTGGCATATGGGACTCCTCGTGTTTCGCTAGACTGGCTTTGTCTATGAATCTCCGACCGCAATAGATGCAAGGAAGTGGTCGCGATTGAGATATATGTTGCGTCAAGTGACGACGCAACGCCGTGGACGTAGGGAAGTTCTTGTGACACTCTAAGCATTGAAACGGTCGGTCACCGGTGTGAGTCTTTCTGTGACGGGCGAGAGAAGTCTGATCTGGATATCTGTGAAAAATAAAATAAACAAATTACTAAGACTATTATCGAATAAAATATATTAGAGAAAATAATATATATAATATAAATCATAAAATATAGAACCCGTACAGAGATATGTGCAATGTGAATATTGATATGCGTCAGTTACTGAACATTTAACCTGCCTTTTAGGACACAAATCACAAGGAAAATTTCTTGTAGTTATATCTTCCTCACGAGCATGTTTTAGTCTATTGTGTCTGAGTAATTGGAACGACGTTTTGAAGGATTTGTTACAAATATCGCACTTCAAATTGTCGGTCGTTGGTATGATAACTTGAGTTCTTTTTTGTCCGTGTTCATCTTCTGATATTATTAAGGATATAGTTACGGTATTGTCTTCGTTCTCAAGATCTTGAATCGACGACGGTGACACTGCATTACTCGTTGTCTGGCGAATTATAAAATTAAATAGAATAGAACGCACGAAGCCTTTTAATAGATGTACAAAATCATGAGAGTGTTTAATGAACAATACCTGTTTGCTAGAGGATTTAGAATCAAGTTCGGGCAAAATAAAAGCGTCTTCTTCCATGCTGTTATTCTGCTGCGATTTTGATGGCGATTCTTTAACAGTGTGATCTTCATTATTGGTTTCAGCAATTGCATAATTGCCATCTTCGGTCAAATACACTGGTTGCAAAGTACCACTGGCATCCTTAAAGTATAACTGACCTTCTTCATCCTCATGCAAGAATATCTGATCCTGAAAAATAACATCTCTAATATACTTGGTGATATAACAGTTATATAAACGTCAACTCTTTTTATTGGATTATTAGAACCCAATATTAAAGATATCATACCTGAGAATTTTCTTCTTGAGCTTCAATAGATTCTGGATTTGTTGCCTCCCAAGACATAGATTCAGATTCCTGCTCTATTGCCGTATTATCATACTGATATTGTTCGGTATCTTCCATAGCTTGCGCTACATATAGTGTCTCCATGTTATCTCCTTCATAATAGATTGTACCCTCGACCGGTATAGTGTTTTCATCAAGTCGTTCCATCTAAAACGATTATACAGTAACATTTACGAAAAGACCGATATTTTAAATGCCATAAAGCAGTATTTTTTATATGTATCAACCTTTAAAAATTGTGCATCTGAAAGTTTATCCTGTTGTTGCTTCGCAGAAGTATCTTGTTTCTTCGTTCCGAGCACGGTGTACAATAAATTGTTCTCTACATTTTTGACGATCTCATGAGGTGTTTCGTTGTCGTCTTCAATATTATTTACAACATTTCTTAAATCTAATCTATTTGATTGCAGTAAGACATTTTGATTATTTACATGTTTTTTGTTAGACTGTAAATTACTCTCGCAATTACTGTCTACTATTTCGGAATTATTATCCAATTCTATGCGCTCCAAATCCTCATCCTGCCAGTCTTCGTCAACATCATACGTTATAACTTGCTTATTAATAGTCTTTTGTCCGCTGATATTCTGGCTCTTGGCTGTTTCCTCATTTGTAGATTCTATGACAAACATGGAATTGTCCTCATCAAAGCTGTAGAGTTCTATGTTGTTCTTATTCGCATCATCATTTTTCTCTGTTGTTTCATTTGTTTTTGCATCCGTCACTTTATTCTTCGATGAAGACTTTTCATGATCCGAAGATTCATCATCACATTCCTCAACTTCTTCGATTATTTCTATAATCTCCTCAATCTCAGCATCCTCAGATTCTTCGGTCACCTCAGACTCAAATATAATGTCCTCTTCCGTAACACTTTCATTGTCCTTCAATATTTCCATGACATTTTTATTATCGATAACTATATTTCCCAATATCTCTGATGATAATTCCATTCTTGGAATAAATCCTCGCACCACTCTGTAAATCTAAAGAAACATAAACGTAAACTCTATCCTAAAGTTAACTTATAGAAAAACAAATTAAGGAACAATTTAACATATTCCATGTCAAGATGTTAAATGATAAATTTTGTATTCTCTAAATTTTTATTGAAAAAGCCTCGCAAGATCCCAAGTAACTCACAAGACACAGGACGTGTTAATGCTAAAAACAATACACATGTACTGACACAAAACAGATAGAAACTTATCATACATATCTCAAAGACGCATTGTATGCACTGTGGACTACACAACGCTTAGCGAGTTCTTGCTGTTTGCGAAAAACCAAAAAGGTTGCTGAAAGCTGCTAAAACCGCGCGACAAACGCGAATATGAAATATCCCGTGAGAAACAACATCGAAAACGAGAGTTGCGCATTGTGCGACGGGATACCATCTCAGCTATTGTGATCGAACGCACGTCTCGTCGGGGTTACGCGATTTCTCGCGGCAGTTCGCGGCATCCTCTCATCGAAATATTTTAAAAAAAATAACAAACCTAATCCTCTTCGATACTATCAGAGGCCGATTCTCGCGCGAGAAACTCTGCTCACCAGTCGGTACGAAAATTCCGTGAATTTATCAACGGACAGCAATATGGCCAACGAGGAAGGGGGCAGGGAGGAGAAGAACGGGATAAAGAAAGAGCGGTTATTGTCGCGGAGAAGAGCGCACACAGCGAAGCACAGACTTAGAGAACGCAAATACGCATACGTGTGTGTAAATCCGGCGGTTATCATTTCTCGCTCGATTATTGACATACCTACGACTGTTTTCTAATGAGGTTCTTAGCGGCGAAAATTAACAAGCGATACGAAAGTCGCAATGCTCGGTCGATATCCGCTAATGTCCGAGATTGCCTTTTTCCGTCCTCTCCAATGAAAGAGTGACGCCGAACCCGCGCTGGAGGGCAGCGCCGCTCGTGCGCGTGCGCAATCGGAAAATTCTAAGTGTACAGTTCCAATGGCCAGTGCTTGTCAACTCAATGTTGTCAACCTCGATTGGTAACCCGATTCAACGAAATTTCCCAATCACATCGGTGTTTCTGGCAAACCAAAGTTGCGATTGGCCGATTTCGATCGAGTAAGTTAATCAACGTTGATGATACTGGGTGCGTTCAGACAATTCAACGGTTGAGAGGTCATCACTTATGATAGGACTATTCTTCAAAATCTGCCGCGGTTCCAAAAGTATGATCCAATCAGAAGTGATTATGGGTGCGTTCAGACAACTCAACGGTTGAGAGATCATCACTTATGACAGGACTATTCTTCAAAATCTGCTGCGGTTCCAAAAGTATGATCCAATCAGAAGTGATTATCTCTTAACCGTTGTGCAACTGTTGAGTTGTCTGAACGCACCCTATCTCTCAACCGTTGTGCAACCGTTGAGTTGTCTGAACGCACCTACTGATGTTAACGTAATTGACCATTCGCGTGTCGGTTGACTGTCCGGAGTGACCAATCACTCATGAATGGGTGCGTTCAGACAACTCAACAGTTGCACAACGGTTGAGAGATAATCACTTCTGATTGGATCATACTTTTGGAACAGCGGCAGATTTTGAAGAATAGTCCTGTCATAAGTGATGATCTCTCAACCGTTGAGTTGTCTGAACGCACCCAATGTTTGCTCACCAAGTAAAAAACTGAGTTTACAAGATTTTGCTTTACTTTCGCTCTTCTCTTCTCGAGTTTTAATGAGAAATTTCGATTTTCTTCTAAAAAAAAAATAATAAAATAAAAAGATCGTTTTCTTTAACAGAATTGACCAATCGCTTTGTCGAGTGACCATCGACGCGATTGGTCGATTTTGTGACAAACTATCTGCGCCAAGCTGTTGTAAACCCGGTCTAATACCGGTCACCGCGACTGTGTTCCGATATTCACTGCCAGTACTAAAAATCTATACTTCACGTCACATATGCTATTGATTTTCAGTACTGACAGTTAATATCGGAACGCAGATTACGCTACTTTTCACACGGACTTCTGTTTCCTATTAGAATTACCGCGTTTGCGAGAATGCGGACGTTTCGCTCGCGCGCTGTTATTTCTATATATTTTAAATAAAAGAAAAAGAGAAATAGATTCTTGCGCAACACATTTTTATCATTTTCTTTGGCTCCAACGTTTGCGTATAAAAAAAAAGTGGTAATCGATAATGAGGTTTTAATGGACAGCAAAAAATAAACACGTATTCGTGCGCGAAGATACACACGGCGTCAAAAATTCGCGGAGTAGGCGCGGGGATCGGAGGGCAAGCGGGGGGGTTCCTCGTAGCGCCAACGGGCGCCGTACGAACTAAG